ATATACACATATAAAAACACATAGATCTAAGGAAAACATTTGTCACTGTATGTGTGACATGCTGTTGCAGCTTCAGCCATAAGAGGCTTCCTTTACACCAACATATTTTGTATAGCTGTACTTGTGTAAATCTACCATAACCATGTTCATTATTTTAGAGTGGCTATAGATAAAAGTCTATAGTTTGATACTCTGTATAAGTGGCTGAAAGCTGAGATTTGTAGATTAAAGGGTATGTAAAGTGAGCCTGTTTCTGTCCCATAGTGTGTATGTATCTCAAGTGATGTATTGAAGTTGCTGTGTTAGTATGTAATTCCAGTGAATGCTTTTTACACTAAATAAAACTCCCTGCAAACCAATAATGATTAAAGCTTTCATCTCAGTTTCAGTAATTTCAACATGAATATTCTTTACTGTTCTGCATCTTTTTCTGGCGGAAAGAGAATTTACAGTGGTTTTGATGCATATGTTTCATCGCATTTGCCATGAAACTTTTTATCTGTCTATTTCTATAGGTAAATTAATGTATATACACATATTTATGTGTGTGTATATATATATGAAGGAAAGAAAGAATACATTCTTTTAGAGCCTTAGAAGTAAATTAATTTGTGAGTGATGTTACTTGTAATTATAGATGGCAATTTAAGCGTAAAGGACATGGAACTTGATGAATATTACAAAAAAATGTTTTCCACCCAGTCTGTTCTTTAAACAATAGATATAGCTTTCATTAACCATGTTGTCAGGAGTTGTCTTTATATCTGCATGATGTAATTTAGTTTCACTTTTACTGGTTATTTCCAATTAGCTATTCTTAATCCAGACCGAATACTGTAACATATTTAATAGAATTTAAGACTTTTGAAGGTTAATATGCTTTCTACATTACTACAGAATGAATGGCAAATTTCACATGCTTTAAGTTACAGCTATAGCTATTTTGAATGCCAGCTTTCAGTCTGGATGCTCTTGGAAATCTTTCAATGTAGATGAATTCCAGGTTAATGGTAGGACATTCCTCCTCAGCTTTTTCATTGAACTGGCACTTCAGAAAAGCCCCTCGACCTTCACTATTCAGCAGCTTCAGATATACCTTGGCCATCTTTTTACTTGTGTCAGCTCAGCATGGAGCTCTGTGCTGGATAAGCACATGGGCCAAATCCTGCTTATCTTCCGTTTGATAGTTTTATTGGGCTTTAGCAGGGCTATTTGCAAAGTTTGTTAAAGAAAGAGCCCTGTTTCTGAGCCACGCACAAAAGTGACATTTCTGTGTATTTGCTTCCTAAAAGTGTGTATACCAGTGTACATACAAAAAATAAAAAGAAAGGACTTTATGGAAGTAAGATACTGCACATTAATAATACAGAGTTTGATTTAAGTGTTCAGTTAGATTCAGCCTTAGAATTTACCATGTTCCAGATTTTAGAACACTCTGCTTGTTTGCCTGAATACTTTGGTTCAGACTTAATCCCCTGTAATGCTGCTTAATTTTCAACCTTTTTGTTTTCCAAAATATAACTATTGCTTACGTTGTTTATTATATGATATGATTATATCTTTGTTAATCCACATTTTGAAATTACTGTTCACTAAGTAACAATAGATTATTGTCAAGGTAATCAGGCATTTATGCTTTATTGTCTCATGTTCATTAATGGGGGAAAAAGAGATTTTTAATACTTTTGCCAGAAATACAAAAAAATCTTAGAACAGATGTTATTGCTTTATAGAGTATTATAGATGGAAAGAGCTTCATAAGATTTTAGTGGTTTTCCTCTGTTTATATTGTTCATGTGAGCTTTAATCATGAACAGCTGAATTAGAATCTGATAAAATTTATATCTACTTGCGTTACTAGAAGTGTAGTGTGAAATCTGAAATATAATTGCTTATTTAGATTTTATAATTTGGTTTATTGCTGGGTTTCATATACTAAAGAAACAAAAAGAATAATTCCTGTTAATATTACTATCATGATAGTTTGTTCAGATTCATTTTTCTTTGATAGAATTTTATGGTAGATACTAAACTCTATTCTCTTGAAGGTGCTGTGTGTCCTTTAATGAAAACAGTCGTCCATCATCTCAAACAAATCAACAGAGACAGTCTTGGTATTTCAGGTAAATGACTGCATTAATGTGGATGTCTAAATTAATTGACTAGCCATGGATGTAATTGTAGTCTGACTGAAGATGGCTTTAAAACTGAAAGGACAGTACAGAATGCAACCCCCATGCTCCAAAAGCTGCCGTTGTTTTTAGGAAGGTGGGGTTAAAATCAGAATGTGTTCTTCTTGGGATGTATTGGTTCAAGTTCTGCAGCCACACTCGTTTCCGTTGTTTTTCCCAAATATCCTTCATTCTTATCAGTTCAGATGGTAAAAGGAAATAACAAATGCATTTCTTAATGCAAAGTCATCTACTGAGTGAATTTTGCACTGATAGTTTCTCTGTTGGTAAAATGAACATTGCAAGTTTCTCTGACTTAAAGGTTTTCAAATTAGCTTGTCAGTCTGTACCCTAGAAAGTCACCAAGCATGCTAAAAGTCAGTATTTACCTCCATTTTTTTAAATTCCATTAAATAAACTAAATCATTGTATCTTATTTCACAGGGTTTGATCTGGCAGAAAGCTTTTCTTTGAGGCAAACATCTTGTGGAGGGGAAAAGATCTGTTTTAAACTGGGAAGTGCACCTCTCGTCAGAGACACAAAGTAAGTAAGGTACTACTTTCATCCTAAGTCTTTAAAAGCCAGAGCTCAGTCTGAATGCTACTAATGAACTGAAACACTGAGCCGTGTGTCCAAAGGATGCCACAGAAAGATAAGTATGTCTATTTTCAGGTGTTTTCATATGTAACAGTTTTTTCTTTGGGAAGCAGTTTGATTCGGGTGTGTTTTTCTTCTGGAATCTGGAAGTATGTAGGTAGAAAGTTAATTGTGAATATCTTTTTCTCAAATCATGCTTCTGGTACTGAAAACTGTACTGTTTATACATTAATATTTCTAAAACAAAGGGAACAAAGAACTTTCATGGTATGACAAGAAATGTTATACTAATCTTCCATCAGTAAAACTGTCTGTCCTCTCTCTCATTACTGCTGGCAGGATTAAAAGGAGAGTCACCATTTCCTTAAACGCTCTATTTTCATTATTATTTTTTTTTCCAGTGGAATTGGTGTCTTGCCTGTGAGCAGCAGCAGAATGGTGGGTACTCAATGTAGAGGTGAAACTAGGCGGCATCCTCTTCTGAGACAGGGTGGGATAAAAGACAGAGACTGCATGAAAAATCAAAAGGAAGGTGAAAGAGAGTAAGGCACAATGGGATTGGATGGGTTTAAGTTTGCACGGGGACAAGGAAATGGTAAGAAGCAGTTAGGAATGTAGTTTCAAGTTCCCCATGCTCAGTGGAGAGAGAGGGATCATCTCAGAGCTTCTTGGTTGAGATGTGCTCTGAGTCACGGGACTGTGTTTTCTGTACAGTGTGTTCCTGTAATGACGAGGGAAGCAACTGTATTCCCATGTCTTCAGGATGGGTATTCTCTGTTGCAAGAGGTCTGGCTCCAGCTTGCCTAGGAAAAAATACACCCAGCCCTCGGACTTCCCCTTTGCTTGGATCCTGGGCAAGGCAGAGGGGCTGTGGGTAGCATGAGGCCAGGGGAGAGGGAGAAGAGAGGAATCAGAGGCACCCAGACACAAAACAAACTGATCTTTGGGAGAAAAGTCTGATTGATGATTAAAGAAATAGACTCTAAAGATTCTAGATTACTCAATAGAATCTAAGTTTTTCTGAGGTATTAGATACTGTAAATGCTAAATTTTTATGCTTGCATAATTCTGCGAAGTTAAAGTAATCACTGTGTTATTTAAATACCTTGGACGCTAGCTGTTGAAGGAAAAATTACTAGATAAAATTACTTGATGCAGAGAGTGCTCAATTTTTATTTCAGCCTTCCCAGTATTATCAAGATTGTCTTTAGAAGAGGAACAGGTAAAATTATGTACCACCCATACATGTCTTTACTAAAAATGAATTTTGAAAGCTTGTCAGTAGGAAACTTTTAAAAAAACCCAAAACATTATTTTTCAGATTTTTACAGATTTTTTTTTTTCCAGTGGATGGGAATTTGAGAGAAACTTGAGAGTACAGAAGAGTAGAAAATCAAGGCAGTAACAAAAAATGTGGGGCAATTTTCCTGTAGGAACAAGAAGCTAAGTAGCACTTTGTGTGCAGTGAAATCTGTGTTGCAAGCTGACTTACTTTATTCTGAAACTGTAAGAAAATCAATGGCAAAAATTGAGTGAGAGGAGCTAGAAATTGGAAAAGGGTGAATTATTTAAAATTCCTATTACATTGAGGGAAAATTTGTGATTTGAAAGGATTGATTTCTAAGAATTCGGTGGTTTTGGAAGGGGTCTTTGACAGGTGATGTTGAGGTTGAAAAATGTGAAGCTTTTCCCCTAGCTTTTATTAGTAGGCCTGAATACTAATGTCTGTGTTTTATTTTCTTCTTTAAAATGTTTTATTAGTGAAGGCAGTGAAAATGGGCAATTCACATCAAGGCTGGTAGCTGTGGCTTAGCAAAGCCTTAACTCTTAGCGGTAGCAAGGAAAATACTCGAGAAAGCAAAAAAACTTTTTGTTTTTTTTTTTAATTTTAATTTCTTTATGGAGTGGGAGAGAAATCTAACAGATTTTTTCTTTTTTTTTTTTTTCCTAAATTTCATCTGTTCAGCTTTTTGGAGGGAGGATGACTTTGAGACAAAAATGGCTAGTTTTTCTTAATTTTCGGTGTAACTTGGGCAGAGGATAAAGAATTTCAGTAAAGGGTAAGCATGGAAGGCAAGTGGTTTGGCTTTAATGGTTTCTTGCTTCTCGCATACCTTTCTCTCCCTGTTGTTTTTTTCTGTGTATCCTCATTAAAGAAAAACTAAATAGAAAATCTTTCCAGTTTCCCCTAAAAACATGGATATCTAATGGATGAAACCTTGAGCTGGATGAAGCAACTGAGATGATTATTAATATAATGCATAACAGTACTAATGTATGAATATTGTTAGGCTGAAAATTCATATTACATTATTGATGTTAATAAGGTACAAGATAAGCTTCTCAGTCAGCTTGCCTTGGAAGTAAATAGTACCTCTTACATTTATCTTCCTGAACAAAAAAAAAGGATTAAAAGTGTTTTCAATAACATTCAAGTATTGCAGAATTTCCACTAGATCCTAGTTCTTCATGGCAATAGTCTTGCTCATGCTTTTTTAACCTTTCTTTACAGAGAAATACACGTCATAATTAAGAATAGAATTTACTTTTTTATTCAATATGTTGAATAAACATATCATCTGAAACACTTTAGACAAGATCTTTGAAAATGACTTGTTTAAAGTGTTTTTGATACTCTTCTGAACTTCTGAGTTGTTTTTTAAAAATAAGGGCAGAGGGCAGTTAGGAGCACAAAGTCAGATTTTGACATGATAGGTTTACAGTGAAGGATAGTCAGGAACTCAGATGTCCATCATAATAACCTTATAATTTACTTTATCTCAGATATCCATGTACAATCTTTATTGTTTTTATTTCAATCTCCTTCTCTTACATCATGTCAGATTATGTGGTTCCAGACCCCTTGAGTTATTAGGCGCACAGAGGTTTTTATGATCGTTCTGCCTCAGAAAATATTTTAGTAGACGTGGTGTGCAGTAAGCAGCAGAACAGTGTTTGTTATCCGTCCTGCAGGAAACTGAGAGTATCTGATTAAGCTGACTAGCAAGTATCAAGTAACTTGGCACATCTCCTCTTGCATTTCATTCATTCAGTTGTAGTGTGGGTAATAGAAAGCTATGCTGTGCCATTTTTCTTGTGTGATGCCATTTTGTTTTTTTTCAATGGACCTGGAGTAGTGTTGCACCTATTTATATGTTGTAATTAATTTACAATGCAGTGTTAGCTTGGGAAATCGATTATATCTATTTATGTTGGATTTGAGTTATCTCTTTATCTCTTTCTGTGAGGGAATTCTGTATGTACTTTGTCTTGTAATAGGAGATGGATAGCTTTTCTTATGCTCTGTGTAAATGACTATTAAATATTGATTTAATTCTAGTAAGATTTTCAGGATTAAATAGTGATTTTAAAATTAAAATACTATGAGTTACTTATTGCATTTCTTACGTGGATATTAATAGAAGTTATTCCTGAGTAAAGTAGTATAACTGAGCCTTTGAATCCTGAAGAAATTCAGTCACAGTAAAATACCGTTATGCAGACAATCTAATTATATAGTCATAATAATAGTAATTGTATAATATTATAATTTTACTTCAATAAATACATTATGGAATCGTATTTCACTCTCTAGAGTTTAACATACACTGCCTATGCAGTGTATTCCAGTTTGGCATACAGCTTGCTCAACAAAAGCAGCACAGGGCTCTGTGCCGATAGCAACTCCTTTAGATCTGCCAGCAGTAATCAGTACTCCTGAACATGAGGCCTTTTAGGCTAATCTTTGTTCTTTAGTTGCCTTAGAGTAAATAGCACTGTGATGAAATAATTTCACTGTCCTGCTCTAAAGATGCATCGTATGTCAGTTGAGTTGTTCCTCATTCTCGCTTTTCTGGGCTGCTGGTGGGCCATTTTTTTCTTCTCTGAAAGCGCTAGTAAAGGAGATAGTAAGTTGATTTCAGCTGAGTTTCAGAATGTTTTTGAAATGGATGTTTATGATTAACGAATCTTCATGGCACAGTCATGGCTGTCTTATTTTGTCGTTTGTTTGGCTTGACAAACAATATTAATTTACTGAGGAGATTATCGTAGCTGGATGTTAAATGATTTCAGAGTTACAGCAGTTGGGATTACTCTCACGACTTTTTTAGGAATTCTTCCCCTTTCAGTGTGAGATACTGCAAAAGAGCTTGGATTTTTACTGTATTTGGACTACGGAGCTCCATCAGCAGTGTTGTCACTCACTGCTGCCAGAAGGGCTGTGGCTGTGGCTTGGGCCATATTTCAGAGAAAGTGTTTCACCTCCTTGTGATGTCTAGTTACTGGATGCAGAAATACTGTCCCCACTTCTGTCAGTGTATTCCAGGCTGGAGGAGTCTTTCTGCTAAGAATAGAAATCAATGATGAAAGCATATTTATGTGGTGTTTTTGGTTTGTTTTTAATGCCAACCTTTTTAATCACACAAAAATGCATGGGGAATTGCATTTCCTAGAGCACAGCTTGCATCAAGTGGCACAGTTTCTGTGGTCATTGCTAGAAGCCTTTTCGTAGCTAGCACTTTGCTCCCCAAATGCGCCTATCTCTGGGTGGCTTTGCAACCATTTCCTTTGCCATGTGTTCTCTGGTTGTATCTGCTGAGACTTCCTTCTTCACCAAAATAATAAATACAGAGTTCCTTGCATATGACTTCAGCTGTCAGTGAATGTCCACGTGGGCATGATTTTTGATTAGTTTTGCACATGGCATGTGTTTTGGGCAATGGAGTCAGGTTCAGCAGCCTTCTTGAAAAGTCTTATTAAGATATATATTAAGAAGTAGCATTCTTATTTCTTAAATACAGTACAGAATGGGTAGATGTGAAAATCATCAGTTTCCAAAAGGTTTCATCGAAAACTTTCAAAACATCTACTTCAAATGACAATGAGGTGGCACCCCTGTTTGGAGGCAGTAGTTACAGTTATGCTAACCAGCTTTTATCTGTGCT